CGCTTGTTTTACTGGTGTGATCTGTCTAAATATATTCATGAAAAGGAATGCTCTTATTTTGTTTTAATATAGCGCGCATCAAGCACAAATCCCTACTTCGTTTGAGTATTCGGAAAGAATCTACCGGTGCACTCACGGTGTATCCCAAAAATCAAGGTCCAAGGGGCATCGCAATCGAAAGCAGCGGTACTGCAAATGCACAGCACGGTTAACGGCCACCGTGAGTCGCGTTTCGGGCAATCACTACGAAATCGTGCTACGAAACCAGGTTCGAGACTTATTATTAATGTGTGCGTGATATAGAATCCGGCTGACATCTATAAACTTGTTGCTGTTTCAGAACCACACCCACTCGCACGACAACAGCAGAACACAAGCTTCAAGCTACTTGACAACGGCGACGCTGCCGCTGGACGAACAAGATCTGGAGGATGTGAAAACATTGGCAGATGCGCGTGTTTCTTCTACCCACATCACCAATTTCTTGAACGACCGCATTGGCTAGTTGTTCATTTTTTATGATGGGTGGTATTATTCAATCTAGCCGACTGGTATGCAATGTCCTACGCTGTAAAGATTGTAAAGTGACACCACAGCAAACCAGAAATCTTCTCCGAAGTATCATGGGGCCAGATTCCGCTCAGGATCGTATGAAAGACTTGCTGCATGCTCTTCGACAGATTGAAGGTAGCGATGTGCTCGTTATCCAGGACCAGATGGACATCACCTGTGGAGCCATCATGCAAACGAAAGTGCAAAAGATGATGTTTGAGCGGTGGGGTGAAACCTTGACGATGGACTTCACGCACGGAACGAACAATCTTGGCTACCATTTAGGTACGTTCAAAAAAGCAACCTTATGTTTATAGCAACCTTAAGCGCAACCTTAATTTTTTACAGCAACCTTGAATCTTATTTGGTTGCTACTGTTGTGTAGGGAGCTTGGTTGTCACTACGTGTACGGGTAGAGGGTTCCCAGTGGTTGACTTTATTGTCCTCAGTGAGAGCGCTGTCACGATTAAAACGATCTTGGATTATTTCAAGGACAAAAATCCAAAGTGGAAAGACGTCACGAGTGTGGTTATCGACAAAGATTTTGTAGAGTGGCAAGTGCTAGAGGATTGCTTTCCCGATCGCACAGGTGCTACTCTGTCAATTCCACGCCATTACATACCGGGAAAAAGTGATGAAACGCAAAGTATTTGAGCTCAAGATGGCACAGAGAGAAGAACCTATCGAGTTGCTGACGAAGATGCTGTATTGGTGCGTTACAGTCAGCAAATTTCTCTTTTGCCTTTTCACTCATTTGTTGTGGTTACTGGCAGCCGCACACAAGACGCGTATGTATCTGCATATGATGCAATGAAGAAATACTGCAAAAAGTCAAGGAGGAGCAACTTCTTTGCGTATTTTAAGAAAAATTGACATTCGTGTCGACAAATGTGGTCGAACTATGAACGCGAAAAACATTTTACTGCTGGTAATACGACAACTAACAGGATCGAGTGTAACTGGAAATACTTGAAGATGCTTCTTGGCCTCAAGACCAGAATTGACAAGACGTTGGCGGGTTTACTTCAGCACCAGATGATCATCACACGGCAGATTACATCTGAAATCGGGAAACAGCATTCTTCCTCTCGATTGCCCAAGACGGCTCCTACATTTTTAAGGGCCATATCAAGGAGGCTCTCTCCGTTTGTGTTGGATCTGGTGAAAAGAGAATGGGAAAAATTCGTGAACCGAGCTGAAAGCACAAATTGCGAGCGCAAAGTATCCGTTTCGAAATGGGATGTTTATGGAGGTCATCACAAATACGAGTGTGACGACGTTGAGTGGACCTGTACCTGCTTATTTTATACAAGCCACCACTTACCGTGCTGTCATCTCATGCATGTTGCCAGCCATGGCCATGGTTTCAATGTGCTACCTGGAATCTCTGTCCACGAACGATGGAGTACTTTCGACGCGTTGGACACCAAAGAAGAGCTCTGTTTAGCAGCCGATGCGCTTCAACCAATTGTCAATATGTCAAAGCTAAGGTTGCCGAGACCGATAAGGTTGCCGAACGTGTACGAAGGTTCACGTCCTTTCGAATGGAAACAATCACATGCGGCATCCGATAGTGAGAAAGAGGTTGTATTTGTTCGATTGCGCCGGGACGAACGTGCAAACCAAGTTGTCCTGACATCTGGTGAAAAGTACTCGTAAGCAAAGGCAATGCTAGAGCCACTGCTCCAGCATCTGTCCGAATTGGCCAGTGCTGATTTTTATCGAGAGCTTCAAGATTGGAAAGAAACCGTTGAAGTTGGATTACGAGGGAGGAAAGTGGCTTCGACTCCGTGTAGAGACAACAACAACGATGAAGACGTTGATGAAGACATGGATTCTTTGTTTGATTTTGAAAATGCAGTGGTCACTGCTAGTATTATGGAGGGGCTACAAAATATGGATGCCAACACTGACGGTAGCAGCGACTGTGAGGACGTCTCATCAACGCAGAAAGCTATAGAAATGTCACGGAAGCCCATAATCGTGAGCAAGGCACAATCGCCGGTGTCCATCACGGATGAAGCTGATAACAAGAATGCAGATGATTACGAGAATGCAGTTGATTACAATAAAGTCGAAAATTGTGAGGTTGGTGAATCTGCTGTACATCCCAACTACCGACCCAGCGATGCCTACGCGGCAAGTGGATATCATAAACGTCTCAAAGCCGAAGACCCGAGGGAGACAACGATCAAATCCGAAGCAGCTAAGACAGACAAAGCTTACCTCAGTTCATACTCGTCTCGCCGTGCACAAATACCCTAGCGATCTTACCGTACAGCTTGACGAGTTTGTCGTTTGGGCTCGCAACACAGAGAATGTCAGAGCTGTGGCGGGCATGATAGACAAATACCCTGTCCAACTAGACGATGCGCACCTCAGGGGTCGCACAATCGAATGCAGCTGGGAAGCTGTACGACCAGCTACGTACATGCACCCATTTGTAATCCCTGGATACATCACGCGGTCAATGCAAGCTTCAATCAAGACAGCTAAGTCCGAGCAACGTCACCCAGATTCACTCGACGACCGCATCAAGAAACAAGGACTCGTGCTCGATCTCGTGGCTTCTATCGACCCCAAACTTTGAAAATCCAGCGGGTAAGGTTGCCATTCTCGTATGGTTGCTTTTTATGGTCGTCATATTGTGGTTGCTATAACTGTGAGCTGTGATTTGTACTAGACAATACGAGGGAGCTGCAATTACATTCTACGCGGTAAAGGCCAAGGTACAAGCATGGTTCGAAGATCGGAAATGGTTGGAGAAAAACTGGCGGAAGGTAAACTCCGATGTGGATCTATCTGCTGTGGAGACTGAAACGAGTGGGCTATCAGTTGATGCTGTAAAGGAGCGACACTGCACCATGGCAAACGAGGTGATTTCAAAGTTTGCATCCAGTCGACTGAGTTCTGAATACGCGACACGGTCGGGTAAGGCCTGCATCGCCTTCGGAACGTTGTTGGTGGACTCTGTAGAGGATAACTGAATGATAGCCCAATTGACTTCTGTTTGGAATTCATTGGAAGCACGATGCGGGATTGCTACGTCCTGTCATCATTGACGGCAGCTGTTGGATGGCCAAAGACACCAAACACGCGTATCACTTCTACCAAGCTCATGATTCAACCTGTCAACCTGAACGAAAGCCACTGGGGTATCATAATAACTACGCTACGCTACGTTGAAGCCAAGGACACATTACATGTGCATCCCTACCTGTATGAGCCCCTGATTGACGAAGGTTATCATGGGGACATGGAGGTGGTTTGGAACGGTGTTAAGGACGGCGATGGTAACTCAGTTATGGAAGGGCTTTGTGGTTTTGTGGCGAGATGGAGTAAGGCATCGGCACCTGCGGCAAAATTATGCATAGACCCTATTGAGTGGATTGAAGTTCCACAGCAACCCGACTACTCAAGCTGTGGCGTGTTTGTTGTGGCCCAAGCTTACAGATATGTGACCGCGAATCTTCGCTGGCAATGCAGAAACGTTTCCAAGAATGATGTGGAAGCTATGCGTCTCCGAATGCTGTGGATAATACTCTGTAAATCGAGCAAGATCCGTATGGCTCGTCGCACTGTGGATAATACGAAGTCTATTAATGAGAAACTGGTCAGCAACTGAAGTAGGTAGATGTAGCTGTGTTATCCGTTAATACAAAAACCGCTAGCATACTACCATACTACCCATTCAATCTGTTGACTGCCATTTCTAGCTAAGCTCCGAAGGATAGGTGCCCGTCTTGACTCGCACCAGAATTGGCAATCTCAGACGCCAGCACGTAGATGCTCTCCTCGCTCACCTCAATGCGTGACAGTAACTCCATCTGAGCTATTAGTATCTTCACGAGGCTTGCGCCGATCTTTTCAAGCGTGTTCTTCATGTCCATGAGCTCGTAAATGCGCGCGCGCACCAGCTCCCGAGCGAGCGACCTTCCGTCCATCCTTGCTGCGATGTTGGATCCTTTAAAAATTTGCTAAGTGTGAAAAAATGTGTTCCACACAGTGTAGTGTAAGAAACACACCCAGGTGTGGTGCACACGCATTTAATGCTGTTTCAATAACTCTAAATTTAGGATGTTGTGGCGTTATTTACACTGCTATTGATGACGGCGACGACGTGGCCACGTCATTTATTATAAATTACCAGAGACCATATGTTTTTGTGGTCGCTTTATAATAGGCGATAAGGTTGCATTATTTCCTGTCGTCTTGTCGTATTGCGGTTGCAGTGACGCCTCTCCAGTACATGTAATGTTGCGTTACCAGTGAGTCGGACTACCAGGACTCACCATCTTGTTGCCTTTGCATCGGACTTTGCTTTTTGCTGTTCGATTGCAAAAAGGCAATTTAGCTCGCTGGTTTGACAGCAAAATGGGTATCGGTACTGTAAAAGCACTTGACACGGAGTGCTCTATTGCCATTTTAGAGTAACTCGATTACAAATTTCAAATGGTAAGGGACTTTTCTTCTCGTCGTTGGTAGAAGAGCATGTAGGCGCTGGAGCTGTAGAGTTCGGGCTTCTTGATAGCCGTCACAGAGCCGTCATTGAAGTCAAACCACTCCTGCGTGTCTGCGTTAAGACACTCAGCCGTGTAGTGGCCTCCATTAAGCGAGCCCATGTGATGTACGATACCCGTAAGATCGTAAAGTGTGCTGCCATCGACAACAGCGTCGCTGGCACAGTACTCGGCAATGTCGAGACTTTGTGCCGGAAAGCTGATGCTTGTGCTCACTTTGTCTCGACTGAAAGTCGAGTAGGAGAAGCGCTTAAGGTGAAGCACCAAGACGTTCGGCAGTCGATACACCGAGATCTTCTTAGCCACCGACCGATGTGTCTTACACTTTTGGCAGTAGTAGGCTGCGTCGTCGCCGAGGAACTCCTGCTCTGTGTACGCCTTAAGACAGTCGTGAATGGACATGGCACTTGCTGTATCTCCTGAAGCCGACGCGGTTCTACCTCCAGAGAAAAACCCACTGGATATCCGCATGGTACTATTTTTGCCGATTTTTTTGGGTACAGGCAAAGATAAATCCCAAAAAACATCAAAACACAGCGACCGGTGATTGCAAGTTTCACAGCGAATCTCGGACCGCAACTGGCCACAGAAAAGCTCCGACAAGGTGCTGGCGTTCCGCTCGAGGTAGAACTTCCAGTACTCGTCCGACACATCTCTGTCCTTGGCCTCCGGTCGGTCTTTGATCTCGTAATACGCCGGTTTCCTTCTAACACGATTGAGATCTTCGTGCAGACCGTCAAGCAAGAAACGCAAAAACTCCTGCGCGTCCTGCTGGTCGTACCCTGTATACCGAGACGCAATTTTGCCAATCACACGCTTCAGCTCAACTGGCCGAGTGGCAGTGAACTTGTCTCCTGTCCTCAAGGCCTTGATGAGGTCACCAAAGGCAGTGGCAAGAGCACCCTTCGTAGGACTCGTGTCGTTTATTTCACGCGCATAGAGGCCAGGATGGAAATACTTGACAAGCGCCGGGAGGTTGCTCACACACTGCAAACAACTATTCATGAAGCTGTAAAATAGGACAGCAACGTTAGCATTGACAACATGGCAACAGTGTGAGTCAAACGCACCAAGTGTTGCCGAGGTTCTGAAGACCCACAAGTCCTCGAGGATGTCTCTTTCTTGCCATCTCATTCCTGGATGATGTTCTGCCACTACTGACACGTGCCGGGTATGGAATCGACGTTGTGGTCGCCTGTGACGTCACAATGTTGCTAGAAGCCGCAGAGCTCGTCGACGGTGTGAGTTTCGGCCGCTCGCTGTTTCCGATAGACGGTAGATTCAGCGACGTGCTGTTGCCGAAATCCAAGTCGTCGTTGTTCTTCTCTCGGACGGAGCTGTTGCTGGGTGTCGACTGATTGGCCTGACGCGAATGAAAACGCGTCAACGAAGCTAACGTCGACGTCGCGGATGATGTGCGGGACATTGACGACTCTGTGGCCGCCGGTCGATTGACAGGGCGACCGAGGATCTTGCCACCGATTGGTGGGGGCTTGGACGTTGCAGGATGATCAAAGCTGTCGGTCACGGAGCTCGCGACCTTCTTGGGCCTAGTGGAGAACGGCACCCTCATGTAGACTGAGAGCCCACAACACGACGAGAAGCGAGTCAGTTGGGGACACAGCGTTACGACACGACGGTCTCGAAGGTCTCACCTGCAGGGGAGCGGTCTTGCTGCCTGAACATGTTGTCCTCCTCTTGTTGCTGGGCGTAGGTGCTTATCAGCGTCGAGGACTGGGCGATGCGCGGACCAGCCATAAAGGTTTTAAACAAGTTGCTTCTGGTAAAGACCAACACTGCTGCAACAACAATTAAAAGATGCAGATGGACAGCTACCCGAGGTAATATCTGTCGTCTTCCGCTCTTATCCCTTAAGGTAACAGGCGACACCGGGAAGGTTACGCTCGTCGTGTAAGAATAGTCATGGGGGTTACCGATGTTTTGTGCCCTTTGGCAAGTGTGTGCAAACTTTAATGGCAAATCCGGTATTCAGTTTTGACAAATACGGAGCGGCTGTATTACGTAAGCGAACTTCAACGTGCTTCAAGTTTTTCAATTTCACATTTGCTGTTTTCCTTACAGGATGGCATCGCTAGCCTCTCAGTGGCCACACGCGTTCATGCGCACAGCAGAGAGCATCACTCTGCACTACGTGGATGTGGGGCCCCGGGATGCACTGCCCGTTGTGCTGGTGCACGGCTGGCCCGATCTCTGGTTCGGGTGGAGGGTACGAGCGATGTAAATCATATAATTTTCAAGATATTTAACTGTTAATGTGTGTCCCAGCACCAAATCCAAGCGTTGCAGTCGTCCTACCGTCTCATTGTACCTGGTTCGTAGCGATTTTCTGCGTTGTGGAATCAAATTCCTGCAAAACTGATAGCTATTATATTGTGTAGACCTCCGTGGCTTTGGTCAGAGCTCCACGCCGCAACACGTCGAAGCTTATGGCGCCAAGAACGTCACAAATGACTTGGCTGCACTCTTGGGCAAGTGTTTTATCAGTTACAACTAAATTTCAAGGTGGCTAACGTGGTTGTTTTGCTGGCAACTCGAAGATGGTCTGAACATTGAGAAAGCGGTGCTTCTCGGTCACGACTGGGGTGGAGGAATGGTAAGATTACATTTACATACAGCAACGGACGGAATTTCTAACCAAATGTCTTATTTCTAACAGGTATGGCGCATGTGTCTTTATCATCCTGAGCGCGTGATTGCTGTCGGTGCTGTGTGCACCGCCTACACACCGCCAGCTAAGTGCCTGATGCCTCTGGACGTTGTCGTTGCCAAAGTCCCGTATTTCTCCTACCAGAAAATATTGGCAGATGCCGAAAACACGGGCAAGATGTGGATACTGCCTCCACGTCGCTCCTTACTGGCTGGGTTCCGTAAACACTCGGAGGATGAGTCCGACGCTGGAAGACGGCAAGATGCCGATTATCGGTACGCTTCAAGGCGTGACGAGCTCCAGCGATCCCGATCTTCACTCAGCGGTCAGCGATGCTCTCAGAGGAGGAACTTCAGTACTATGTAGACCAGTACAAACACTCCAAGTTCCAGAGCACGTGCCAATACTATGCAACTCGAGAGATTGACTTCAAGGACGAACTGGGAATGTCTCCAATCATCAACCACCCTGCGCTATTCATTGCTGCGGCGAATGATCACGTACTTAAACCCGAGTTGGCGAGCAAGATGCATCGTTTTCTGCCTAATTTGGAGACGCACGTTGTGAACGACGCTGGTCACTGGGTCTTGTGGGAGCAGAAGAAGCGAGTGAATGCAATTCTCAAGGCGTGGCTGGACAAGCTCCCGGCTTCTGGAGATACTCGTAGCAAGCTATAAACAGAGATGTACAGGTGTGAGGAAGAAAAGTGTATGTTGCATTATCGTAGCTGAAAAATGAAGTTGCTTTTTTGTTTGCAAGTTGGAAGTTGCAACTAGGGCGCAATAAGCGGCAACTCGCAAATTTGGTCCAGCCACTATTGCAGGATCCTCGTAATTTCGTCCTTTTGCTCCCAAAGAACCCAATGTCCGGCATTTGCCACGATCTGTTGGCGCAAATTCGGGACTAATTTGCGCATGCCAGCTGCCATCTCCGGTTTAAGAACACGATCTTCCGCTGGACTGATCAAGAGAGCTCTGTGTGAGATGGAGGGAGGAAGCTCACGCTCGTCGTTGAAGTTGATAAAGCGTGCTGCGTAGTAGTTGCAACCTCCTGCAAAACCCGAGCGCTCATACTCCGCCACGTAGTAATCCAGCTCTGCTAGGTTCAGTAACTTGGATGGGTTCGTAAAAATTGGGTTTTGTGATTCTGGTACACCACGAAGCAGCTCAGTAAAGCTGAGAGATGCATCAATATCAGTGTAGAGCCTAAACGTGGCAGTAAACAGCCGTCGTGGTGCAACATCTAGCAACTTGGCAGCTTTCACGGGCTGGCTAAGTAAACTCATGTACGAAAACTGAGGAACGGCGCGGACTAACGTGTTTGTATCCACGTACACGTCTGACGGTGCCATGTACGGCGTACAAACACTACACACCGCAATAACTCGCTCCGGGTGGAACATGCACATGCGCCACGTGATAACAGCGCCCCAGTCGTGACCGACGAACACAGCGCGAGAGATGTTGAGGAAGTCTAGCAGTCCGGCGAGGTCCCCCGTCACCTTCTTGGTGCCATATCCTTCGACAGTTTGGGGAATTGAGCTGCGACCGAATCCGCGCATATCTGGCGCGATGACTCGATGCGATTTAGACAGCGCTTGGGTCTGGTATCGCCAACCGAACCATAGATCGGGCCATCCGTGGACGAGCACGACCGAGGTGGCGTCGCGAGCACCGACGTCGATGTAGTGTAGCGTGATGTCATTACCGACGGGTGCGTAGTTGTGCTCCCATTCGTCCCAGAAATGAGACGGTTTGCACACACCGAATCCATAGAGGAGCTGAATACCATTGCTGTAATTGGAACAAGGAACGTGTTGCGGACTCGTTGCTTTGAAGAATGAAGCTTAATTGATTTTCAGCTCTTGATAGCGCACCGTCACTCACGGCAGATTGAAAGCGTGCACCTTCATGCCACTTTAATATCCTACAAGTAGTTCTAATAACGTGAAATGCGTCGCAGAAAAGAATTAACCCACCCCGAGGAAGACGGTGACAATACAGTCGTGCACCTCCAATTCGACAGGGCGGACCATATCAACAGTGCCAGGGCATAAGTGCACAACGTGGTCGCCCACAGTGTCCTCCTGCCCTACCACGAATTGAAGGTCCGGGAAGCGCTCCTCCAGCATAGCAATGACAGTATTCGTCTGCGCCATGGCCAATTGGCTCTTACGCGAGGACACGAAGATGGTACGCTTGGAGGACGTGGGCGAGGAGGACTCAGGCGACGTCATGACGGGATTTTGAATTGTGGACTGTGCGGCTGCCCGCTTGGCGTTTTATTACCGGTATACATATGGAGCAGATGCGCGGAACTTATACTTATAGGTATTATTTTTTGTAAAATTATAAAGTTTTGTGTACTGATCTCCACGATAACAGTTACGAGACAACCTCAGCAAAACTTTATAAATTAAAACAAGAAACACAAAAAGGTGGTTTTTGCCGCCAAGCCGGTGTTGACTCTCTTCCTGGTTCTGACCAGCAGCTAGTGAACCCACTCCTCTTCTGGTTATGAGCCCAAGGCCGCTAGTGAAACGCACTTGCAATTAAGAGATCATGTCTGCAGAGAAAGACGGAAGTGAATGAGTCGATGCGCATCCGATTCGCGTAATCCTAAAATCTGGCAGGGTATCGACTGATACCGGTGTCGAATTGGAGGTGCACGACTGTATTGCAAAGCTATGATCGCAATCCGATATCGCAGTCATGACATGTTGAAGCTACCTACCTGTCCATCCAAGAATCTTGGACCAAGATACACTTTTGCGTCGATGCCATCGAAGTTTCCACTTGTAAGTTGGAGCAGCAATTGAATTTACGAATGGTATTAATACACGTGAGGGCCAGATATTCGTATTAATAAGAACGCTGCATCTGAATTTCAACATTGACAACCGCCACATCTCGCAGGATCGGCCAGCAGCGTGTTTACGCGCCAGACCCGTAGAAGAATACGGATGGCATCCGTTCTTGTTGACTTGACACTTTTCATCGGGCGGCAAGCTGCACGCGGAGTCCGGCATTAACGAACGCGCCGTCAACCAGCAACAACCATGGCCCCGACATCTCACTTCTGGGACGAATGGGAGCACAACTACGCACCTGTCGGCAATGACATCACGCTACACTATATCGACGTCGGTCCTCGCGACGCCATCCCGGTCGTGCTCGTCCACGGATGGCCCGATCTATGGTTCGGTTGGCGATACCAGATCCAAGCGCTGTCTAAAACGCATCGAGTCATCGCGCCGGACTTGCGCGGATTCGGTCGCAGCTCAATTCCCCAAACCGTCGAAGGCTACGGCACCGAGAAGGTGACGGGGGACCTCGCCGGACTGCTGGACTTTCTCAACATTCCTCGCGCTGTGTTTGTGGGCCACGACTGGGGTGGTGCATTGATCTGGCGCATGTGTTTGTTCCACCCGGAGCGCGTTATCGCTGCATGTGGTATCTGCACGCCGTACTTCCCGCAAGGCGATGCCTGCGTGGAGTACGACAAGCTCATCCCCGCGATCCCTCAGTTCTCGTACATGAAGCTCCTCGGAGACTCGGAACGAGCGGCTAAACTGCTTGATAAGGATCCGCGTCGCATTTTCACGGCCATATATCGTAAATACGACGAGTTCGCGGAGGATTTCGAGTTTTTAAAGATGGTGGAAGACGTCAATGACTCCACCGACTCCGTGTACACGCAGCGTTCCGAGTTGCTGTCGGACGCTGAGTTGGACTACTACGTAGCCGAGTACTCGCGTTCGGGATTCTTCGGATCATGCAGCTACTACTCGCAACGCAAGCGCGACTTTGAGGATGAGAAGGACTTGCCTCGTGTGATCAAACATGAAGCGCTCTACGTTGGCGCTGTGGACGACCCTATTCTCAAACCTGAGCTGGCTGCAGGCATGCCTCGCGTGATGCCTAATCTCACGCAGGAACTGGTGCACGGCGGTGGCCACTGGCTACTATGGGAGAAGAAGGACGAAGTGATTAGCATCCTCCAGCGCTGGCTGAAGAACCTGGATTTGTCCAAGACTGCGGCAGGTCTATAACGAATTAATAGCTGTAGTGGTTTGCTTTTGATACTGGCTTAACGAGACGTTAGAAATATTCAATGCTTTGATGCTGGAAAATCGGCATTCACCGAATTATTTTATTGTTGTTTGTCGAAGATCTGTACGTGCACTGAGTAAGTGTACTCAGTGCCTCAAGCGTACTACCATAAAATGGTCAGACTAGACCATCTAAGGTCGGCGTCTTTAGATAATCGATGATCAAAATTTAGCCATAGCCGAACTAGGACAAGCTCACTCCCCGTCATCTGTATTGTGTCACCTTTTGATCTCCGTTCTAATTACTGCTCCGCAGCCTTCTTGGCCTGGTTGGATTTGTAGATGTCACTGCGCTCGTGCAACACGAGTTTGATCCGAGCCATGGACTTCTTGACCTTCGTCCGTCGCGACGGGTTGGGCATGGTCAGGTTCTTGGCGCGGCATTGCTGAAGCTCCGTGAGAAGAGCGTTACGTTCCTTCAGCAGCACGAACCAGAGCTTGTGCAGGTCGTCGGTGCTCTTCTGGCGCAACATCCAGGCCTTCCAGTCGCCACCCACGACCACCTGCTTGGAGCCCACACTGGCCGGAACCTGCGTCAGGCTGCTGGCCTTGGCGCCCTCGCCTGCCACCTTCTGCACTGGGAAGAAGTCCTCGAGGCCGCGACGGGCCGTTTGGCCCGCATTCACGCGTAGACCTCCGAAGAGACGACGAAGCTGGAACGACATGATGCACTTGGTTGATGTAATGTGCGGCTCCCCCACGTCCAGCGAGTGACTAAGTTGTCTTAAGTACGATCGGAGTCTAACTCGAAAATACATTATCCCATTTTCTTTAATTTTAATGTGTCTTTTCAGTATGTATTTGTAATTCTTCACCAAAAATTGCCTCAAATCGATCTTGTATTTTTTATTTTAGAGCAAGTTTTGAGCCCAGAGATTCGAGCTACATTTTTTCCAGGTGTAACATCCAGATATTTCCAAGGATTGAATTTTATTTTTCTTCCCACAATTTATTATTTTCCTTCCGCCCCCAGCCACTCAATCGTAGAACTGACACGCGGCAGCTCGGACTAAGGGAAGGAACATGGCGCGCACACACAAGACGGCCCAAATCAAGCAGCAAATGGCCGACCAAACTCGCGAGGAAGAAGAAGCGCGGACTACAGAGGGCAAGTGTCGAGGGGCCCCGGACCCGAGCGGAGAAGTCTCGCGCGATAAAGATTGGGTGGAGGAGAAGGAAGGTATGGAACTCAGTACCGAATCTGGCCGTAATGAAGCCACTACGGACGACGCCACGGTGGATATTTAGCACGCAGAGAATGGGGGCGAACATGAAGACGAGGAGAACTAAGAGGGCAGTTCATCGGCGTCTGAGGAGGAGAAAGACGAGGTGGTGCACAGAGACACGTGTGGTAAGAAGAAGAGGCCTGCGTCTGACGGCGGAGACGAAGACGATGGAGAAGTCGACGAAGTTACATTGCCCTCGTTCCAGACTGATCACAAAACATAGGCACTATTTGAGGAAAGCTTACAGGAGCACATGCGTACTACCAAACAGGTGCCAGTTGTGAGTGAAACGGTCAGTACCAAGCGACGCAACCAGAATTTGCATAGGCAAACGCGGTATCAAGGGCACCCAGACAGCCAAATTCTGTTGATCCCTGAGGAAATAAATCCTTTTCAGCGCAGGTATATCTGTACGCATGGCTGGGCCGAGCGTGAAAGGTCTAAAGCAAGTGGAAGGTGTACAAGCTCCGCCGTACTGACTGTCCGTTTATATTTTTGGCTCAGGTGGTGCGAACAAAGGGCAGTGGGGCATTATGCTGAAGCTCGAGGTGTATCGACACAATCCCTATCAGTTCTGACATTTACATGTCGTACCCAGGTATTCGCCAGGTATCGTCCAAGTCTCCGCTAATGCCTAGTATTGAGCTATTGATGGAGTCAGACGCTAAAAAATCAGGTATTTACGACTACATCCGGCGGAATTCTTATCACCGTGTGACGATGGATGATGTTCGCAACCTGGTGGCACGTCTTCACCAGTCTGGTAAGGTAAACGTTGTGCGCGCAACGGTTGTATAGGCTCCTAACTGAAGGCGTGTACCCTTTTGCAGGAAAGACACTATCTAACGACGACGCAGTAGCAGAGACTGTCGTCAATTTCAATTTGGAGAACCCAAGGAACGTGTTCACCGCTGTACTAATCGCTCGAGGTGATGCTGGTGTGATATCGGTAACAACAGCGCACCTGCGCGCGATGTACGACAACTTCCCTGAAGTGTTGCAAATGTACTGCACCCACAAGACCAACAAGTGAGTTTTTAGTTTGTATTTTTTTTATTCTTTAGTTTGTAGTACCGAAATCTAGATATTTTCCATGTGTAAACCAGATATTGACTAGGCTGTTTGTGCAGGTACAACTACCAGTTGTTGTCACTTGTGGCGATGGACCAATTTGGACACGGCCACAGACGATACAAAGGGAGGGGTCGCTTCACACCCGGAGGATGCAGCGCAGGAAGACGAAGATATTGATGAGGACGAAAGCATCACTGAAGAGAGGAGGAATGTGACTAGGAGTGACAAGCCATCTTCACGGCTAAGCTAGAAGCACCCGGCAGACGATGATGATGATTTGCTGGTCTCCGTTCCGCCATTCGAGGAGGAGCATAATACCTGGGCTGAATTCGAACAAGGGTTCAAGATATATATTCGCACAGCGCGACAAGTGCTTGTCATGAAGGAAGTGATAGGTGTCGCTCGGCGCAACGTGGCGCTCGAGAGCCAGATCCAGTACAAAGACGTCCAGGTGAAGGAGATCCCGCTTATCCCAGATAACGTGGCCCCCTATCAGCGCAAGTATATTTGTACGCACGGGTGGCCTACGCGTGAACGGTCGTCAGGCAAGCGCACGTCCCACAATCTTCGCCGGACTGAGTGTCCTTTTCAGTTACTTGTGCAGGTTAATTGCCTGGATGATGGCTCGTGGGGAATAGCTCTCAAGCGCATAGTTTACTGCCACAACCACCAGGCTTCTCCAGAGATTTACCAACGCTACTCAGGTATTCGCCAGGTATCTACGCAGTCTTCGTTGGTACCCGGCGCTGAGCTACTCGTGGAATCGCAGGCAGGGTCATCAAATATTTACGATTACATTCACGACAACTTCGAGCAACGAGTGACGATGACAGATGTCCGGAACTTGATCGCTCGCTTGCGTAGCTCCGGTAATTGTTCGAGGTGTTTGTTGAATTTGATTGCTTATGATGTCCGCGTGCTAACAATTACTATGATGGCGGATTACCCTATGTGCAAAAATGTCTGATGACGACGCTGTATTTGAAACGATCGTGAGCTTTAACATACAATTTCCTCTGAATGTGTCGTCGGTGTACCAGAGTACGCAGGGGGACACTGGGGTGATTTCAATCATGACATGCGACCTATGTTAACCAGCTTCCCTGAGGTCCTTCAAATTGACTGCGGACACAAGCCGAACGAGTACGTGAAAGCTGCTCTTATTTGATCCATGTATTGCCCATGATTTGTTTAGGTACTCACCGTTTTTTATAGTATATTACTAGATACAACTACCAGCTACTATCGATCGTTGCTATGGACCAGTTTTGTAATCGACAGCCTGTCCAGTGCTCATTGGTAGAGACGAACGGCGACTGGCAAATGGCATAGAGTATTGATCATTTCAATCGCGCAAATGAGTACTGGCGTCTTGTGCGGATTGTGATTGTGGACATGGACATGAGAGAGGTGGACGTTTTGTGTTAGAAGTTCTCGGACGCTCGCATTTTGCTATGCCACTTTCACGTGATTAAATGGCGACACGATACGATTCGGATGTCGAGTAAATACGGAGCTAATAAAGCGGATGTGCTGCCCAAATGAAATAAACGATCACGAACATGACCTACGCTAGGACGGAAGCAGATTACGTGGCTCATCGCGAAAAGAGTTAAAGAGTTTGTCGCTTAGAGGAGGAAGGCAAGCTTTGTGGGCGTGTTTTGAGAAAATTTGAGAAACGTACGTATCGTGTTGATTTGCCTCACTTTCAGAGCCATACAAACACTCACGTAGAGAGCCTATTCGGCAAAGTCAAGCAGTAGATTAAAGGTCCTTTCTCCATGAGCACCAGCTTAAAAGTACTGCTGTCATTTCAGCTTCGAAAGGAGGAGGAATACTACGCCAAGGTTGAAATGCCAGGAGCGCTACGGGATACTTCATACACGAATGAGCGTTGTGCTGGGCATGACTACGCGATGGGTAGCTGCTGCCATCAAAACATAGTATGACATTGCTATGGAGCAGCTACATCATTGTAGACAACGGAGATACGGTAGCTTTACGGCGAGGAGAGTACAAATACATGATGGAAAAGGAGACCTGGCAGTGTTTTTGCGAGTTCGCACAAACTATGAAGCTTCCGTGCCGACACGCGATGGTCTACAAGAAGTCATCAGAAAGTCCGTTTGTGGCTCCGTACGCTGCAATTGGTTCCAGGTATTTCCAGACATTCCATGTTTTATCCAGGTTTTGTCTATTAAATCCAAGTTTTATTCAGATATTAACCATGTTTTGCTGCCATCGACTGTATTGCTCTTTCTGGATGGTATGGGTGCTGTCGTATGTCTACGTAAGATCTATCGGCAGTGGCAAAACCGTTTGTCGCGAAGATTTTTAAGCAGCCACAGGCCTCGTCAGAGACACGATCAGAGCAGGAGCAATATCGACGTGCTCAGCAACATTTGGCCGGATCCACGGGGAGCTGGCACAGCTGAGTGACGTCGCATTTGACAGGGCGATGTCCCAGTTTGATGAATGGTGGCACACTTTGCGCAAGGTCAAGTGGCGATCCCGTCACCTCAATCCAGTGACAATGGTGAACGCCATGAACGAAGTGAAGGAGGTGGAGATGCAGGTAAATCTGGTGGCAGTAGTTGTGAGCCCAGTCATGGAGTTTCCGGGGGTGGGGTTTTGAGTCATGGAGTTTTGTGTGTGTGTGTGTGGGGGGGGGGGGGGGGGTTGAGTGATTCTTGTTGTGCAGATGTCGGTGGGAATAATGATAATTTCAGTGACGTACTGCCTACCCAACAATCGTGCGAACCCCCATCCACTGCAGCTGCACGACGTTTGCGCGCATCGGTAGATAGTGCTCCGGTGCAGATCAAGCTAAAAGGGTTGTGCCAGTCGGGCGACTAAACCGTACGAAAGCGCGAGCTAAAGCTAAGTCTGCCCTGTAAGAATACAATCAGGGCATGAAGCTGCGAGGGCTGCTACACGAACGAGATGTGTGTGAAGTGGTTGCTTCTCTGAAGGAGATTCAGCCAGGCCTGCGTGAGGTCAGGTAAATCCTCGCGACCTTTCAGGTGCTCGGAAAAGCCGATGGGAAACCACTTTCGTGGGCTGTCGACCCAAATTATGAGCCCGACAATGTGCGCTATAGGCTTCCTGAGCCGATGATCGATCGTGCATTTAAACAACTACGTGAAACATAATATGAAGATCAGGCAGACATTCAAATTGATAGTGACGGAGAAAGTGACAACTCGGACAATTACGTGGTGGAAATTGATACAATCGGCACGCACGCTAGAAATCAGTTGGATGCCATGAAGTGGCTGTGGAATTTACAGGCCGCGTGCTGCGTTGTGCACCTGGCTAAACAACGATGTGAAAGAAATTGCTGGTAAAAGGCCACCAGTGGATATTGTATTTGATGAAATTCTAAATACCTGGCCATTCAAAACTTTACCAGGTTTTGGATTTGACTTGACGATGTCGGACATCCATTGTATCAGATGTTCGATGTGGCTAAATGACGACGCCATTCGTGCCTTCGCGGTTTTCCTACAGCGCTACAAAAGCAATGCGACCGTGATGATGCCTTTGCTGAAAAAAAACCTTCAAGAAAGAAGCCCGCTAATGTGGAGGCGATTCTTCCTGAGAAGATACTTTTGGAGATTTGTGCGTTCATCGCCGTTTGCCAATTTGTATTGGTGTCTGTCAACTCTGAAGGAGTTCACTGGGGTTGTTTGGTGATTGACGGAAGATCAACGACGATGATGCTGTACGACAGTATGAACATTAACAAAAACGTGAAGCGCCTAAAAGCCATTAAGAGTGAGCTTGAATCGGCATTTCTGGAGACGTTACCAGATAAAGAGCGTTGAGCAACCTGTCCAAAAAACATGTGCTAGCTGTGGTGTTGTGTGCCTTTACATGTGGAAGCGCGTGTCCAGCGAGGCCCCCGATGGGTAATGCTACACGAAATCATGAAGATCAAGCGTCGTTTGTAGTTGCAGCAAGGACTGTCAGGTAAAGACAAATACATGGTATTTACCTGACAATACCTTCCTGTTAAAAAGACGATAATACAGAATCATCTGCTCAATCGATTTGCCCCCCCCCCCTGTTTGCCAAGTCGACAAACAAAGCTCTGAATCACTTTGACTTTTATCTAAGTTGCGCACACATGACTATTCCAGGTATCCAGGCTCTCTATACCTGCGTAATATTTGGACGGAAATAAATTTTATAAACTGCCGGTCAGTAGCAGAATCTGGATGTGAAACCTGGAGATACCTGCATCTGAGTAAACCTAATCACTGTATAGATATCTGGGAAATCTAGTCTCTAACGTCGTCCTAAAATTAATCCCTGTCCTACCCCCCCCACCTTAGTGTTGGTGGGGATGGAGTGATAAGCTCTAAATGAAGCCAAACTGGTCAAATAACTAGTTAGATAAGAAAACCGCGGGTGAGATCGAAGATCATTGCGAGCTCGGCGTATGAATAGTTATCGGCGCCGTGATGTCGTGTCCATATTTTGAATATTAACGCTGCAGCGTACGAATTGGGAACACACAAACACAGTAACTGGCCATGTATGCCTTCCAGATGGAGAGCGGTTTCCTTTGCTGTCGACTTCGCAGCCGAATCTAGTTGGGGTTGCCGTCCGTATGTGTTGTTGAGTTAAATATCCTCGTTTTGGTCGGAAGTTAACTAATGCACTTCTTGCCCGCGCGAACGCACGTCCATACCAAAATTTATCGGACCGGAGTGACCTTTTCGGATCTATGTATTGTACAAAGTTTATCTCAGATAGGTAAGATGTTTAGGGAGGACATGCCTGATGTGAAATGACGCAAAAGACCAAAACGTGGCCAAACAAACTCTTTTATAGACGACAGGCAATGGCCTGAAACGCCCTTTGGGCTAAGAAAAACACTCTTTTGTTTTTTTATTCATTTTTGGCATGAGAACCACGTTCTCATGAGCTAGCAAATCTAACAATGATGCAGAACCGCCACGATCGTCCGGATAATTTTGCATCCGTCCGGTAAATTAAGATTGACGACAGCCAGCTATCAGAGCCACTATTGTTTATTGAGTAATTATCTGCCAGTAAAAACGTACCACTTGTATTTGCGTTCGAATACAGGTGTCGAATGGCTTGCAGCCTCTCACTTTCAGTCAATCCGTCGCCGACAGCTCACGCTGGCAGTCAGTCTTACTTGTTTTCAACGCAACTACGTTCATCTCCCGTACATGCTGCACGGTCTGCTAATCCTTCAGGTCGCCTCTGCCCCCCCCCAACAGTGTAGCTCAATTGAAAGAGCGCAAGGTTTCGGTCTTGAGGATGCCTGTTCAAATCGGGCCATCGTTATCGCTTATGCTTTTGTTAGAGGCCTTGTGGCAAAGATCAAGTTTTGTGGACAGCTTAGATCAGCAAGACAGGTGACTGCATACGTGTGTAGAGGTCGACATGACTTAATGCTGCGAGAAAGGGTGAATGCATTCGAATCTAGTTTGTTTGTTCTACTTACTAACCTCCTCAAGTACGCCCTGCGTGTAGCCAGGATACGAGTCTTGGATTGCAGCTGTCTGGAGCAGTTGACGGTGGCGTTGGATCTTAGCATTTAGCGCGCCAGCGCTGTGGACCCCCTAGAGGTGCTTAAGGACCGCGCTCGATCCGCAAGAGTTGATGCTGTGTTTGCCTTTTAAGTCCTTGAGTATGACATTCTCGGCGCGCTTTCCCAGCTCCAGAACTCGATCGCGGTAGTCCGCTGACGTTTGGTTGAGCACGAAGCCATCGTCGAGAAACAACTTGATGTACGCGACTAGCAGCTTGGCCTTCGAGCGCTTCTGCTTCGGTGCTTCGACTTACCAGCGTGGATCTGTCGCGTACCAGGTAAACCAGGTCGCATGGAGGTAGGTAGCTGATCCTCTACGCTGTTTTTGCTTGAGTTTGGTCACATCTGTGGCGTCTTCATCTTGAATGCTTCTCTTTCGTGTTTCAGCTACAGGAACACCGTTCAGCTTAGCCTCAATCATACCCATGCGGGCATCTTGGCGCTTAGGGCTCTCGATAAGGTGTCTAATGACAGTGGCCTGGTGGTCGATAATTTCTGCTCTTGGCTTGGTTCGATTGGCATGAATATGAGATGGATGTTTCTATGTTGTCTTTACCGGAATGCTGCACTCCTGCAAGATGCGTCGACCAGGCTAAGAGGTCTGGTAGCGTACGTCCAGCCTGCGTAACACAGGGTTCGAGTCACTGCATCGCTGGGCTATTGTGATTTAAGCTTTTTACGACGGGATCGTGTCTAACGACGCAAGCAGTTAGGAGGTGTAGAACCTTCCGGTTGATGTTGAGGCTCTCCCTCTCTAGTTGATAGCAAGCTGTGAACAAGGCTCGTTGGAGCTCGGCAATCGCGTCAAGCGTGTCTGCGTCAAGCTGGACCGGTCTTAAGAGGGACAAATCTTCGGGTTTGTAATCACTCAATACCTTGACAATCTTGTGGTCTTCTCTACTTGTGACGAAAATGTAGTTGAATCCTTTGTCTGTGATACTTAGGTTCCAAGATCCGCGATCAAAGATCCAGCGCGCGGTCATCTTCTCGCAGCCGTTGGTTTGTTGGCCTTCACCACGACGGAAGGCGTGCGACGTGAGAGCAGCTGACACACCGGCGGCAGGGGCGACGAGATCAAGCACACATTTAGCATGTGCGTAGATTGTTGAGGGCGCAGCGGTACGAGGAGGAGGAGGAGACGCAGACGTAGCAAGACCAGAGGTGCCGGTGGTGCGCTTAGGAGCTCCACGAGCGGGACGTCAGGTGAGAGTGTGGTCGGCGTTTGCTGCACTTGGTCGGGTAGGCTCCCGATGAGAGCTGGGCACAGTGCGGCTTGGACGAAGAGGGCGAGAGCAACAGCGAGCAAGGGGAATTTTGCGAAGTTGGCGTCGAGAAAGAGAAATAAGCCTTTTTCTTCTGACGTCTTCACACGGACCAAGCGAAGGAAGAAGACACAAGCGGCATATATCGAGATGTTCCGCTTCTTGATCATCGACAGGTCCGAAGCTCGCCCAACCAGGTACCAGAGCAGACACAGAAGAGCAGCATCTTGGTAGTCACCCTCAGAACACCCGATCGGACGCATCAAGTCCGATAAAGCTATTCAGCTGTGGTAGACGTATCACTTTCATATTCCTCTTTATCGGACCTTCGCGATGAGTTTGGAGGAATTACAACCTGTCAACACATTGCGAGCTAAGGTAGCTACTGTCGCAGCATTTTTTCAAGTTTTTAAAGGGCGAGGATGCCAGGGAAGATTACGTAAAGAAATGTATTGAGGCGGATGAGAGTGGCCAGAGCTTTGTGTGCGCCATGGATAAGTTTAGAATGCATCTTGCGTTTAGTGAAAGAAAGAAGGATAAATTGCTGACGCGAAACACTGCAATGCAGTACAATCGCCAAGCCAAAATTTGACTCCTAGAGCAATTTCCTCAGCACTGCGCTTCGCTAGAATCGCTGCTGCTTAAAATGGGAAAAACTTTATATAACTTCTGTCTCAAAAGAGATGGTAATGGCTTTGTTGCAAAGGCTCCACCATGTACAAAGGCTGACTTGAAAAAAATGGTAGTGTAATTGTATGTCAATGCATGAATCACCTAGACCTACTACATCCGATTGGTAAAAAGCATGATTTAGTTTTTCTGTGATTGGCTGGTAATTTACTGGCAGGTAACTGGCAGTATATTCCCATACAAAATTTAAGTATCACATTCATCCATTAAGCGTAAATCACCAACTTAATAATAGTCAAGTTATCTGGCAGTGATGCTTGAGTGTGACGGCTATCAATATCCCAGCTGTACAAACTCAACTATCGTGTTATTGAACATTTCTCGATGCTCCGCCGTGTTCGCTGCTGAAAAAAGCGAAGTCTCAACGCTTTTTTCCCCCAGTAAGTATCACACGGCAGCTACGATAGTAGTTTAAAGTACCAAGCAGTAAAATAGTTGATCGATGCACGTATCCTTAGAGTTGGCGAGGAAGAACTTTTCACTCTTCCGACTCACCGATTAAACTTGCAAGATACAGGGCAGGTGGCAGCAGGTATGTACGCTTGTATACGTATTGTTCTAAGTTGCAAAATTCAGCAACGCTGCCACCCAAACACCGGTGCAAACAAGTGTTGGCTTCTGCAAAGGTACATATCGTATCCAAGATGCCGCCATTCCTTCGATCTCTCGACAATGTAGCTCCATCATGGAGCTGTAGTAACCATGAGCGACTCGGTCAGCACGGACCACGGCCTCCAAGTACTACAGTACTTCGTAGGAGTCCTACTGCATGTGGCGATGTGTTGCAATTATGCGGCCCGCATAATTGCAACAGTTCGCCACATAATGCGGCTCAATCAATGCGTTTGCTTTGCTGCACCATAGTTTTTATTTTTGTGGACTGACGCCTTCACAACTTTCTCGAGAATCTGGAATCTGGAGTCTGAAGTCAGAAAATGATTACGTAGCCATCTCTCAGTATTTCCAGATTCGAGTCTAGGAAACGTTTTATTGTACCAGCGTCCGGATTCCGCAGCTGACATAAGACTTTTGCTGGTGTTGCTGCGTACAGTATGCCTTCCTGCCTGCCTCCAGCATGCTTGTGCTCGCGTGACATACCGAGCTAATAATGAGCGTCGAGCTCGAGCGTCACCTTGCATTTGACTGTGTCTTCAAGATCGCAAGGTCTGTCGAGTGCGTGATAGGAATTTTATGGCCCGGCACGTGTTCAATAGCCGTTGTCGTCAATCGCTGCTGTTTCATGAAGCGGCCAGCTGAATTCGTCTTCTAGACGCAGTGCTGGTAGTGACGTCTATTCAAAGACGTTTTAAACGTCCGTGTGTTTTTACCCTTTTCAACGAACGTCTAAACCCATTTTTACAGACACCGGGACGTAATTACCGAAAGAAAGAATGACTTGATTTCAATGAGCTATGAAGCTTTTCATGGGTCCACTAATAGGGTGATAGGGAGAAAGCTGTTGCCTTCGAGCCGCCAGCTGACGTAAATCACTACTGACACCAAGGGACCTGCGCAGCGCAGTGCGCTATCCCTGCGGCTGCTACGCTGGGTGCTACGCTCGCTGCATCCACGTCTAGCGCCATGCTTGGTGCCACTTTGGCTTCTACGGCGTCCAGGTCCACCCCTGCTTCATCGCTACCCCGGCCGCCAGCCGCGAACTCTGCGTTTTGGTCCTTCCCTGTACGAGGAGAGATGGCGTGTTTCTTCCAGATAGTAATAATGGTCAGCATCGACTGTAGCAAGTGCAGCGTCCAGCCTTCCCGGTAAAGGCGTTCCGGTTGCTCACGATAAAGCTGTTCGTAGTAGCTGAGCAGTACTCGGTCTGGCGCACCGACGTCCAGAAAGAGCTTGAGCACCCAATTGAACGTCGTAGCGTCAATCGCAGCAGCCGACGCGACACTTCCAGCGAACGCTCCCATACCCGATGATCGAATATACCACAGAGAGATCCACTCGAGCACGTCGGCCAGGAAACCCACAGAAAAGACAAATCTCCCACACCAGTCGAGTCGCCGTGTCGGTCGTCGCCTTCCAGGTACAGCGACTTGCCCAGTCTCAAGATCTTGCACTGCATCTGGCCAATCCGTTTCTGCTCTCGAACGAGGAACCGCCTCAGTCCCGCTCGAAGTGTCCAGCAAGCCAGCCTTCTCGCATTGATCCACGGCGCCCAGTGCTACCAATTACAACGCAGTGAGTACGCAAAAGCAGGGCAAAACCTCGCTCTGGACAGAAAAACGAATTAGCAACGGAATTTGAGTTTCGTAAGGGATTGAAGCGGAAGATGCGGGTGCTGCATTCGAGTAGCGACAGCGCACCCAACACAATCTTCTCGTCGCTCTTACGGAGAAATGCACTAGTTGTAGAGGGGATACGTAGAGCAAATGTCATTCAGCTCATCTGCATCGCAGTTTATTGGGCACTTTCGCTGCATCATCTTGTAAGAGAATGAAATGAATATTTGGCAGAGAGGACAAGTTGCAAGAATATCTTAAACAATTCAACTCAACAAGGAATTCAATACGGAACAGAATAAATGGTTTGTCAAACACTTATCTCCTCATTCGACGGGATCTCGACTACAGCGTACTTGGAAGGTAAAACAGATCAACAAGAGTCGTTTTTCGGCCGCGAAGTCCAGGGAGTTTTCTTGGCTCTTGAGGAAACCTAGTGTCATTGTATTCAGGAATTGGACGAAGACGGAGCTGCCGTTCGTCGTAGTCTTCTTGATTGCTCTCTTCATCGTTTTCAAGCATGGAGGCATCCGTCTCAGTGGAAGAATGCATCGGTGAATCGGAGATGTGATCAAAACTCTCGCACCAGTGAGACAGAATATCCTGGGCTATTGTATTGGATGACTCAGAAGACTCTTCAACCGGTGCACCGGCTTGTTCGGAATCAGCCGTGTCAACGTTATCGTCCCGGACAAATAAGCCCTCGTCGTTCGAATCCATGTTTGTAAACTCCAATGAGCGAAAACGAATTGACGTGCCGTGTGAGGGATGTTCTATCGAGCGACGCGAATATCGACGAGATGATGTGACAGAAGGACGTGTAACGGTGGAATGTGGACGGCTTGGCGTGACATTCGACCGGTTTGGTGAAGCGAGTGGGAATCCGGGTGTGTCTGGGGGGCGGAAGGCAGCTTGGGAGAGATGGTTCGGGCTTGTAAATGAGTTTAACGAAGCTGGTAGACGGTTCGGTGTTCTACCTGTTGTTGTTGAGTTTGACGAGTGGTGTGAGACCCAGCAATCGCGTCGAAACTGGCGCTCCACAGACTTAATTATGCGACCTGCGTATTTGTTGCCTTCGCTATCTTCATCAACAACGTCGCCATCGTCCGCGTTCACACTTCCACTGAGTCCTCGGTCTTGGTTATCCAAGCGATCACGTTCCTTTACTGCTTGACTAGCCATAGCCGCCTTGTTGGTCTTGTCCGCTTTCAAACAATTTCGTGCTGGTGTGTGGATACGACCGAGAGCGCTAAAATATCGCTCACATGTAGCTGTGTTGGCGGCAATTGACAGAACTGCGAGAGCGAGGTCTGGTAAATTGGGACCCGCCGACTTACCTTTAGCATACTTCCAGTACTCGGCAACTGACGGGAACTCATCGAAGCGAAAGTGCTCAGTGCCGATGTACAACGTGCTCTCACACCACCGAACAATATGGTAACGAAGCATTCCATACTCACGTCCAGGGAAAAACCGCTTGAAGTAAAACACTCCAAAATTTGAAATCGAGTCAATCGAGGAAACACCTTTGTTAGGAAGCGCTCTTGCCACTTCGAGGTATCCCGGATGTAAGAACACCGCCAAAAGAGTTAAAGGCTGCTCGCAATCGGCCCAGCGCTCTTCCACGAGCGGGATCAGCTCTTTAGCGTGAGGTCCAGCAACGAAGCTGTCAAAAATATCACGAAAGCACATCACTACGTCGACCAGTGTATTCTCGTCGCGCTGCAAGATGTAGGACGCATTGCATAGTGGCCGAATCGTTCGCTCTGCATCGGCCAAAGTGGACCAGAACACTTCATCAAGAAAAACGAGTACATCTTTTGGTAGATCGTTGGTAAATTGAAACCTCGCTGCAAATTGCCTTAAACCAGTCTTAACACGAAGCAGAGACGCAAAACATGCTTGCATCGAGTTCCACCTTGTATAGCAGAGAGAAAGAAACGCCAGTGGCTTGACCAGCTCATACAACTCCATCATAACAGCGTTTACTCGCTTAAGCCACTTCGACGATGATCGGTTCATTGCGTATACAGCAGCACACGCTTGGTCAGCAACAGATCGAAATCCGGTTCGCCGTAGGATGGCTTTCACCAAATTATTGATATCATGAGCGAAACACTTACCAAAGTGAATAGAGGGCCAGCGAACAGCTAAAATTCTGCGAGCACGCTCACATTGCCCGGCGTTATCGGTAACTATTGCTCCAATTCTCCAGCCTTTTTTCAGTAAAGCTTCGATCAGCGTCTCCATTTGGCGTGCGAGAGCTATGGCGTGATGCTCAGAGCCTACTTCGTGTAGCCCTTCGACAAGAACGAGTCCAAAAAGCGTGAGATGAACTCCGAGAAGATGAGTTCTCGAGATGTTTTGCCAAACGTCACTTAGCAGATTCAAACGCCCACCAGTGTCCTGCTGGCGTTTGCGAAGCTCAGAGCTCTTCGTAGCCACGTATTCACTTGCGTAATCGTTCATTATTCGTCCTCCCATTACACGGCGCGACGGGATATACGCCAAACACGCAGGGTTTAAAAAAAATAACAGTCGTTTGGTTGCTGGGCGCTCAACAAACGAGTCGGGTAACGCATTATCCACCTGAAACTCCAATAAAAAACGCTCAAACTGGCGTCGCTGGGCTGGAGTGTAATTCCGCTTGTACACTCCACTCACGCCACTTTCTGACAGATTTTCAGTAGACGGAGCGGCGGGATGCTGCAAACGACGGGGAGGTGGGGTACGCGGTGGGGATACTTCGAAAGGGCCATTTGGCGTTGGTGTAGGTGGGGCGGGCACGCTTGCAGGATCGCTAATTTTGTGAACAATACGTAGATGATTGTCGAAATTAGTCTGCCGTCCTGTGATAGGTGGTGACCAAGGGGATCCAGGGCCTGGATCAGTCTGGGGGTTTTCGAGCTGGCGTGCTGCCTCGCGTAAATAATGCTTCGCTAGACATCGTTTGCATCTGAAGGGATAGTGGGCCGAGTTCACCTTTTTGCTACCCCACTGCACGAAATGCTTTCGAGCAGGACACCCTGGCCGACCCATCACGACTGCGCTTATAAAACAACAACAACATAATGAGAACCCAGAGTATACACGCTAGTCGTCTTCGTCAACTTCGTACCAGGAGACTTGGCCAGTATCAGGAATGGGTATTCGGACCTTGGAAGATTAAGAACTGGTGAGCTCGCTCAGTTTCGAAAATCTTTCACGTCTTCATTTTAGAGAGGACGTGAAGATCCTGCGTCCATTAGAGGGTCCACTATTTGGAATGTTGAGCTACGCTTGGTTTCTGGTGAGCTGCCGCAAATTAGGTACACTGTACCCTTAAACGAACATTGATAGAGACAATAAAGACGTTCGAAAATGAAAAGACGTCTAAACTGGCGTAAATACACGTTTTTAATAAAAACGTTTTTATTCCCACTGCCAGCACTGCTAGACGGTCTTGCGCGTGACTTCTTCCTCCAATCGCCACCACAGCGAACGCTTGCGTCACGACCCATGCCGAAGGTAAGTTGCCAAGAGTAGGAGACCGTGGAACGAGGTCTCGCCAAGTACCACGCAGCCTCAGCCGCGTCACATACTGTTCGTCCAAGCCGACGGCGTGTTGTTTATTAGCTCCACAGTCTCCGGCGGAGACCCATGTGACGTGGCCGAAAAGGGAGCCGGCCAAATCGTTGCGGTTCCCCCAACTGCAACCTCAAGTTAGAGGCATTCGTTCGTATGCATCGGACAACAGGATACTCCAGACGTCGGCTAGCTATTAATAGTTGCCGACAGAGTAACGAAATGTCATTTATCTGCCATAACATCGCTCGCTAATGCACAGCGTATCGAACGACACAGATTCAAGGCCAGATTCGGCTCGATGTTCAACCCTCCAGTTCCCCAGCGACCCAAAACAGTTTAACATCGGCTTCATATGGCTCTTTTTCGACATACTCATCACAGTCGACATGTGACAGGCGGGGCTTGCTATCCGGTGCGATGGACATACTGAATCCAAGTTTGATTTGTGTACGCGTTGTGTAATGGCGACCGTTGAGGTTTCTCTGACGCGGGCATGTCGACGCTGCCGACGCGGTTGCTGTTGAAGCTCTTCCATTTGCTGCAAATTAGCCGGCTGTCCTTTCGTGTGCTGCACAGCAGCAGCATGAGTGCCGCATTTGGCTCTCGGCGTGCGTTTCCTGCTTGAACGCGCCCAAAATTAGCCGGCGGCTCGCCACGCACTTGCAGCGATCTCATTCCGCTTTTTGCGTGCTTCGTGGCATTTCAAGTCGAAGTTTCGTCGGCCGCATATCCCCCCGCCTCCTACTTTATTCAATATGAGCACTGAGGAAGTGTCGCCACGCGCGCAGATGCGCCACAGCCGCTCCATGGATATGGGCGTCACCCGCAAGATCGACATCTCGAGTCAGATGGAGGAGGTGAAGACGCTCATCCGCTCCACCAAAGTCTTCAACGACGACGCGGTGACCAATGAGGTCGAGTGGTTCTACGGCCCGCTGGGCGTCCACGACTTCTACTTCCTGGGCCAGTCCCCGGCCGTGATCGCCCACCACATCCAGAGCCTACTCGCTGCTAAGCTCATGTCCAAGGCGTCGAACCGCCCGGACGTCAAGCTCGAGCAGGAGGGTGATAAGGATGCCTTTTTCTCTGTGCTCAGCAACGTCGCCGGCAGCAACAACAAGCCCAGCCGTCGCGCTGTAAGCTACGACTCCGGCATCACGGAGACTGAGGCTCTTGAGCGCCGTATTGAGAAGCACTACCTCAGTGGCTCCAGTGGTGTCATTGGTGACGGTGTCAAGGCCGGTTACCAGTACCTGGAGAAGGCCGAGTCCACCAAGAAGGGAACTTACCGCATGCAGTGCTACCGCTCCAGCGGTGTGCTGGACCCTATCACAGTGCCCTACCACGTGCGCATGTACTTCCTCCAGGAGCCCGACTTCGTTGACCCCAATGTGAGTGAGAACGAGACGGACATTAACAAGGTGGCCGACAAGGTCTTCCTTGAGCGTTCGGGCCCGCGTCTCCGTGAGGTGTACCAGGAGTGCATCGTAAAGGCCATGGACCAGATGACCCCCGCTTTCCACTCGGAGGTCTGGACTGAGTCGGACGGCTCCAAGATGGCTCGTCTCGCTATTGCCTACCGCAGTGGAGCCACGCACTCGTACTTTTCCAGTATCGCCGATGTGTACCGTCAGCACGGCCTGTTCTCGCAGCGTAAGTACGCCGAGTTCTTCGCCAACGGCATCGTCATCTACTGCTTCTACCTGCAGATGCTGGACAACCCCTCGGCCGGCAAGGGCTCGTTCGAGGAGCGCTTGAGCGCCACTGTAAACGACGCGTCGATGCACTTCACGCTGCCCCGCACGTCGCTCACGCCCATGCTGACCGACGGTCTTCTGACCCCGCAGCAGATCGCGTACGCCTACGCGGCCTGGAAGTTCACCTTCCACTTCATGCACCGCCTGCCGGAGTCGTTCGCCATTGTGAGCAAGTCTCTGCGTGACCGTGACCCGAACGCCTTTGCTCGTCTGGAGCAGCTCCGCTCCACCATGAAGCTCAACACGTACACGGAGTCGCAGATCCTGGACCACATTCTGAGCTCGGCCGAAATTGTCAAGATCCTGTACGCCGAGTTCCAGGCACTACACGAACCGACCAAGGACGGCAAGCGCCCCGACGTGGACACGAGTGCCACGCTGTCGACGTTGCGCAAGTCCATCGTGGCCGAGCAGGCGCTGCAGATCTTCTCGCTGTTCCACATCTTCAACAAGCACATCCGCAAGACCAACTTCTTCGCCAACGACAAGGCCGCGCTCTCCTTCCGCCTGGACGGCAAGTTCCTCAGCAAGACCGAGTTCCCGGATGAGCCGTACGCCATTATTTATGTCATCGGCTCCGAGTTCCGCGGCTTCCACGTGCGTTTCCTGGACGTCGCCCGCGGTGGTATCCGTATGATCCGCTCGTCGCACGCCCAGGTGTACCTGAACAACGCGTCGTCGCTCTTTGACGAGTGCTATGGCTTGGCCTCGACGCAGCACCGCAAGAACAAGGACATCCCCGAGGGTGGCTCCAAGGGTGTGGTGCTGCTCAACCAGGCCCACCAGGACAAGGCCGACGTGGCCTTCCGCAAGTACATTGACGCTGTGCTGGATCTGATGCTCATGAAGGAGCCCGAAGAGGACATCTTGTTCCTGGGCCCCGATGAGGGCACGGCCCACCTCATGGACTGGGCCAGCTCGCACGCCAAGGCGCGTGGCTACTCGTACTGGAAGGCCATCACCACGGGCAAGTCGGCCTCGCGTGGTGGTATCCCGCACGACGTGTACGGTATGACCACCCACAGTGTGCGCGAGTACGTGCTGGGCATCCAGCGCAAGCTGCAGCTGCAGGCGCCGATCACCAAGGTGCAGACTGGAGGCCCCGACGGCGATCTGGGCAGCAACGAGATCAAGATGAGTCCGCAGGAGGACACCATCGCTGTTGTTGACGGTTCGGGTGTGCTGTACGACCCCAAGGGCATCAACCGCGACAACCTGGTCAAGCTGGCCGAGGCGCGTAGCCCCATCTCGGGCTTCGACACGAGTCTGCTGTCCTCGGAGGGCTACTCGGTGCTGGTGTCGCACAACGACGTGACTCTGCCCAGTGGCGAAGTGGTGGAGAACGGCACGGAGTTCCGTAACTTCTTCCACCTGCGTCCGAGTCTCACGGCCGACTTCTTTGTGCCGTGCGGTGGTCGCCCCGCCGCCGTCAACCTCAACAACGTCGAGCAGTTCATGTACCGCGAGGATGGCCGCACGCTCCGCTTCAAGTACATTGTGGAAGGTGCCAACCTGTTCTTCACGCAGGACGCCCGTACGCGTCTGGAGGATGCCGGTGTGATCCTGTTCAAGGACGCGTCGGCCAACAAGGGCGGTGTCACGTCGTCTTCCCTTGAAGTGCTGGCTGCTCTATCGATGGCGGACGAAGAGTTCGCTGAGCACATGCAGGTAGACGAGTCTACCGGCAAGGCCCCGCAATTCTACGCCGACTACGTGAGTGAAGTGCAGAAGCGTATCGACCTGAATGCCCAGCGTGAGTTCGAGTGCATTTGGCGCGAGCACGAGCGCTCGGGCACGTACTACTCGGTGCTGACCAACCAGCTGAGCGAGCGGATCACGGACTTGAGTGCCAAGATCCAGCACTCGGGCCTGTGGGAGAACCAGGCTTTGCGCGAGAAGATCTTCGCGGACGGCTTCCCGGAGATCCTGCTGCGCAAGACGTCCAAGGAGGAGCTGATCAAGCGTCTGCCGGAGAGCTACACGCGCGCCTTCTTCGCGTCGCAGCTTGCCAGCCGCTTCATCTACAGCGTCGGCCTCGGCGCCCCCGAGTTCTCGTTCTACGAGTTCATCGAGAGCCTCATTGGCGGCAACTAAACAGCATAGATCGCGTAGGCTGATAAGTAAATGTACACGTTCGAAAAATTACATTGCAATGTTTCTGTTTTGCATTAAATAGGTCTCGCCTCGAGTTGCAGTAAGGTGAGTGCACTGTGTGGGTTTCAAAATATCGATTTGTAAGAGCAATCTGGAGTGCCTTGCAAGTTGCCGTCACGTTACCCGTAGTGTTCCATTCTTGAGGCGGTTGCTATTTGTCACCGATTTGGTGATTCCCGATCTATCGTTTTTGCAGGGCTCACGATTAAGGTAATATACCGGTCTGGCACATACCGGTGGTTGCCAAACCGGTACAGCATGGGGAGTACTGGCCAAGAGCTGAGGATTTGTCCACCACTGTAAAATAAAAAAATTGTGTGCTGTTAACAGTACATACTAAGTGCGCTGCGAACTTAAGATTCACTACCTACGGATGAAGGCTGCTACGCGGCGTAGCGTAGAAGAAAACTCCTAGCCGGCGTACTAGGAGTTTTCTTTTTTCGCGATGGGCGCTTTCGTCCTCTTGTAGACTGATACAGGCAGACGATGTCGATAATTTCTAGAACTCCACCTTCAGCTTCCAGGCGAGGTTGTGGGCAGGTTCCCAGGTGAGTCAACCCTTTGGAAGATAAAAGTCAAGTCATTCGCCCAGTGTTTTGTGTTCACTTTTTCGACGCTAAACCATCGTTCTTCTCGACCTCGACTTGCTCGGTTGCTGGCAAATAGACCACCGCCGCTGCCAATCACATCGGCCAAATTTCTGGCTTCTTCGGTGCTTTGTGAACGGTTCGTAATGTTGGGATTGAAAGTGAGCTGGTAGAAAGAGCCACAGCATTAACAAAGGCTGCCGACTGGATCGCTATTGCGGTTTTGCGTTGTTAAATCTGGTACCGTAAAAAAAGAAGCTTAAAAATATTTAAGAAATAAAAAAGTACAAAAAGAAGCACAGACACACCCATTACCCCATGTACTTGTATTGACAAATGATCCTTATATCCAAATCAGTAGCTGCCTTATCAATGCTATGCATTGGTTTAGTCGTATTTACCACAATAATATCACTCGACCAAGTAGAAGCAACCTCCTTACCACGACGTGCGCATAACATCAAAACAAGTACAGTGCTGGAAGATAGAATGTATTTTATTGCGCTTAGCCGATGGAATGTCCCTCCGTTTTATAGCGTAGATTGAGCAAAGAGGCACATTCATTTGTTTTCGAGTTAATTTATTCAAAAGGCAAAATTGTCGATTTCCAGGATATCTATGTGGATTTGGTGGTAGATCGATACCAAGCGGTCAATTTGGCTAGTTCGTCTATTTATTAATACTTCGAACTATTATTATCAGACCGAGTGAAAAGGACAAAATCATTGAAATGCACAATATGTATTTTATATTTCTGTGCTTAGTTTGAGTCGACCAACTCACTTGGATTGGTTATTGGTGCTGGTTTGAGTACGCATAAGGACCTTTTAAGTACGTTGGAGGGTATTTTTTTTGGTTATAAATCCACAGCACTTAGTAGTACCATACTACATGTACACTGCACTACGTAGAAGCTGTTTATAAAAGGCACATTCTGCTTCACCAGAAATAATAACCTTTATCTTCCTCTTGAATGGCGATTCGCCTGAAGTTGCAATCGAGAAGCCTCATGATTGGAAAACGTACTTGCGTTCTTTCAATTAAGGTAAACGAATAAAAGACGAAAAATTACAGCAAGTGCCTGTAGTACTGCGGTAATACCACTAGCATTTTTCTCTCACAAGGCTACTACAAAATCGAGGAAGAAGGACCTCCATCCCGTTCTGGCCGATCAGCAGCTGATTCAGCTTGACAACAGTCACCCATCTGACAGGTTAAGCCTGGGCATCTGGCCCCGCACGCTCTCAGCTGTTCCGGGTGCCGTCAAACGCTATTGAAGAGGCGATTCAAGTGGCTCTTCAAGAAGAGTACAGCTATCGCCAGGCGCGTACGCCGGCCTGGGAGTTCCTTGTCGACTCCCGGTCGAACGAGCCCCAACGGACCAGCTCCCATGGAACTCGGGTCAGCCGAACAGCGTGACATCCGCAGCTTCGGCTACGGAAAGATGGGCCACTTCAAGCGCGACTGTCCCGCGGAAAGACTCCGCAGACGGTCTTTCCCCAAGCCCGTCCTCAAGGGTCGCTGGTAGAAACCAGGATCCCGGGGACAGGGGAACACCGGGAGCCAGTAGGGGCGGGGCGCCCTACTAGAGAAGAACTAAGTCTTCGTGAGGGGTGCGCGGGTGGCGCGTACCACGGGGACCTAGCCCCTGAGAGTCTTCGCACTCTCGAATCGGCGAAGAGCAGCGGCGGGTTGCTGGTAGTACACGGATGTGTACAGGGATACGATCATCCCTTTCGAATCTTGATCGATTCTGGGGCGTCGAAGAATTTCGCACATCGCCAGACGGTTGCTCGTAATAGCAACAAGTTGTCCGATGCTTTGAGAGAGCAAGAGCAACGGGACGGTGTCAGTGCGACTGGCCGACGGGAAGGTCGTCACTGTCCCCAACGTCCAAGTGGATCTGGCCGTCAAGTTTGAAGACTTTGACAGCCTCGAACAGTTCACTGGTCTCGATTTGGATCCATATGATATGATTCTGGGCATGCCCTGGCTTGAGAAGCACGAGCCCTGGATCGACTGGCGAGGCAAGGCAATCGGTGCCAGCCGCCCTGCGCAGTCCGACAGAGCATTGGTGAGTCATGCTCCCACCTCTGTCAGGACCCGGGGCGCCCGCGAGGGCTGCCAGGGTACCAAAGCATCCGGCAGATGCTTGGGAGTCGTCGACGTATATGACGACTCCGAGGATGTTTTGATGGTGGCAGCGCCCAGAAGAGGCGCTGGCCAAGTGGGTAACTTAGGTCCACAGGCGGGTAACTTAGTTCTGCAGGCAGCTGCAGCTGTCATGAACACTGAGAACAGCGTGTTCAGAGTGGGTAACAGAGTTCCACTCACGGTCGCCCAGACCATAACGGAAGAGTAAGACGTCGGATACGCTTCCTGTGTGGGTAACACAGTGCCACACGCGGTCGCCCAGACCTTAACTGAAGAGGAAGGCGTTGAACACGCTTCCTGTGTGGGTAACACAGTGCCACACGCGGTCGCCCAGACCTTAACTGAAGAGGAAGGCGTTGAACACGCTTTCTGTGTGGGTAACACAGTGCCACACGAGGCCACGAGTGCCTCGGATGTCGTAGCGACGACATCCCTAGACGTGGGCAGCAAAGCTCCCCGTCACAGACGCCGTCGACAAAGACGCCGCCTCCGCCTCAAGTCGGATCCGAACTTCGTTCCGATCGACGTCGCCTCAAGCGACTCGGAGTCCAGGGCCCGGGCTCCTCCGACAAGGCCGGTGGAAGAGTGTTATCACATCTTCGATGGTAAGACCGGTTTACCCGTCAAGGAATCTGGTGTCCACTTGGAGCCGTTCCCAGAGATTGCAGAGATACTGAACCTCGAGGAAATGACGGCTGAGTCTTTCCTGACCGACCTCAAGGCTGGAGAGATTGCGGAGATGGTGCTCATGAGACCTGAGCTCACTCGGGAGGAGCTGAACTCCTCCTCTGTCTTGGACGAGAACGTCGTAGAAGACCTAAATAAGCAGCGTCAGACGCGCTTGGGTTCTAAACTCCTTGAGAACCCCAAGGATCCGGTGTATCCTTTGGTGACGGAGTATGCGGTGATCTCGTGCCTGGCACAAAGTATTGTGTCACGAGGCAATGGCCTCTCCCGCGCGAACAGTGCGAGGTCATTGATGCCTTCTTCGCCGCGAAAGCGAAGGCAGGCATGGTGCGGGAGTCGAAATCCCCGCACTCGACGCCAACTTTCTGCGTTCGGATGCCGAACGGAAAGTGACGTCTAATTCATGCTTATAACAAGCTGAACAGCGCGACGGTGCCGGCCCAATCACCAATCCCACGAAAGGATGGTTTGTTAAACAACATGATCGGAAGCGTACTGTACAGTGCGCTGGATTTGGTAGACGGATACTACCAGATCCTGATGCGAGAGAGCAACACCCCGCTCACCGCGATGAGCACTTCAAGCGGCATGCTTTGGGAGCGGCTCGTCATGCCGCAGGGCTTGTCTAACGCCCCGGCGACGTTCAATCGCCTGGTGACGCAATTGTTCCGCCATTTGCGTACCTTCGTACAGACGTACTTCGACGACATATTCGTCCATAGCCGTGCCGAGGGAGACAAGACGGCCATGGAGGTGCATCTAGGACACCTCCGTCGAGTGTTGGACGGAATGCGAGCAAACAAGCCCTACGCCAACATCGACAAGTCTGTTTTGCGTCACCAGAGATTAAAGTTCTCGGTTGCTTCGTAAGCAACGTGGGTGTTCGGGCTGACCCAGACAAGGTCAAGGCCATAGCAGCATGGCCAACGCCCCGATCCCAGAAGGATCTTCGAAAGTGGTTGGGCTTGGCCAACTACCTTCACAAGTACAGCGCGGGGTACGCGGGCTTTGCTAAGCCCTTGTCGGGCCTCCTTCAGAAGGACGTCGACTGGCACTGGGAGAAAGAGCACCAGGATGCCTACCTCGACCAGCAGCAGGAGGACTTCCAAGCTGCCCAGCGTATGCGTGGGGGTTTGGTGGTGGCATCCGGCTGCCAGGGAGCTGTCATCAACTCGCGAGGGTATTGGCCTCCCGAGGAGAGCTCTGCGGCTGACCTCTTCCGGGAGCTTCTCGTTGCTCCTCGTGGCCTTGTTGGCGGCCACACCTCTAGGGGTATTTACGAGCGTACTCTTGTTCAGAAAGATCGGTTGTTTGTGGACAGCTTGGAGGCTGCTCGGTGTGAGCTTCTCGCGCCACACCGCATCCCTCTCAAGGACTTCACTACGTGTCGTAAGAAGCCCGAGAACCGGGGTGGTCTCTACCCTCTTTGGGGCTACCCCTGGATTCTGCCCGAGAACTGTCCCAGCTGGCGTTCTTGTGAGGACATGTTCTGGGCTTGGGTTAATTCTCTCA